ATCGAAAAAATATTTTTGTCCTCTGTATGCAGGAAAGAGAGAGTCATTAGTGAATTCACGAGACACACAAATGGATTCAAACCTTTTGAATTTGGCATCATCAAACCATTGGGGAAGTTTTTGTTCCAAATCCACACCGCTTCCTATGTCACATGGTGTCACGGAGCCTTCGATGACAATTTTCATAAACATAGTTTTAGCCGCTAGAAAAAAAAATAAGATTTTATATGATCATAAATCGAACAAATATATATTGACTTGTATCTTTCATCGCAGCCTCAGGCGATTTATGATTCTACTTATACACGTTTACGTTCAACTATTGTTGGAAAGCGGTTTAACATTCACCATACAACCTTTCACTAGAATCTTTGCCAGAAACGAATTCCTAGCGCCGAAGCCAACTGGCTGTTGCTGAAGCTGTTCAGCACCATACCATCCAGCTCAGGTTTAATAACCTGCCGGTGTTTTTATTTGATATTTAAAGGAACAAAGCATGAGATATAGGTGTAAAAACATGTTTGTTAACATTTCCCTACCTTTACTTACAAGGGATGAAAGGCATTTCTGAAATATCTTGCGTAAAAATCAAGAAATTAATTATAGAACAAATGAATGTTCGATGGAAGATCATTACTATGGGAGAGGGTTTTTTTTATTCCACGAATCTTACAAATTACAATAACGGGGAAGTGAGCCTTGGAAATATGCTTAAAAATCTACTTGCGCATTTGTTGCTTGACACTTAAGGGTAAAGGGACGAAAATATTGCTTCAATATTCAAATGATTTTTTTTTTACACTTAAATTCTGTTGATGCAATTGTGTTCACGGTGTTCCGGTTAGCAAGTAGAATACTAAAAACACATTTTTTTGAACAGAATTTCAGTTTTGAACGTACTGCTGTCGAATTTTTTTGATAGCTGTTCTGCGTCCTCTGGCAACTTAATAGAAAATCCTGACACGTTGCACCATTCATAAAAATTCAAATATATTTTTGCAGTTTCAAGCGTACACGTAGTCTTGTTTTACATAAATTGTTGGCGTTAATCGATAATATGACGTTTTTTATGTTAAGTTCAGCGCAATACAACACAAGATATATTTACGAGCGGATTATATTCAAAACTTGTTTCTGTGTGGATACACTCACTGAATAAAGTGGTCAAATGTCAAAAGCGATCCATTAATCATGTCAGTCTCTAAGGTGGGTTGGAGGAGGGGAAAGAAGACTATGAGTTCTGTGACAAGCAATGTATAAGCTATAGGAAAAATGTGACGAATGATGTAAATCTGTACGCAAATTCTGTGTATATCGTACAACGTAATATTATTAGACACCTGAAGAAATGGCCTTTGAGTATCTGATTCGATGTTATATTCAACAACTTATTTAGCTGTGTTACTTATTCAGTCTAGTTAGAATTAAAATTTATTTTATATGTTTGTAAATATATGCAATCTCCATGCACTAACCACAACGATAACATACAATCCACTTATTTAATCTGTTTCATCGCTTAGGAAAAAGCACATATTTCATGTGATGATCTTATAATCAAATTGTTCCATAAAAATCGAAATGCTTTTTGCGCAGGCCCCGGAATGGTTGAGGACCACTATTCTTAAAAGACGGCGTCAAAGCGTTTTCTTTCAACGGCTGATGTTTGCTTGCAACTTGTGAAGCTTACACGCAACAAATTGTTGCGTACAAGCTAAACCTCATATACGGCCGATGAGAGTCAAAATTGAGTCCAATCATTGGACTCAACATTTCAAAAAGCTGGGTCATTCTGTGGATAAGTAAAATGTTTCCTCAAAAATCAACTCAAATATCAGGAAAATCGATGAAAATTTTTCTCAGTTTGCGAGTACATGGCCGATGAGATCAACTCAAGATTGTGTAGGGTTTCACTCATATTCACAACAACACTGATTACTAGGGACGGTACGATCGCAATACTGTGGACCCCCGGTAATCTGACCGTTCTTAATCTGAACTTAAGAGGAAGAGGAGATCAAATCAGTGCCAACATTTCAAAGGGGCGTAATTGCATTTGTAAACAATGGCTTTAGCCGTCGATTTCTCGCGAATAAAAGCACACTCATGAAAAATAATCACACCAGCAGGTAGATGAATGTTTCCTCTACCAGCTAGCATTGTAATTTTGGAGAGGTAAGATTTCATTCGCGAGAAATTGACGACTAAAGTCATTGTTTACAAAAGCAATTACGCCCCTTTGAAATTTTGGCACTGAAATATGGACCAACAGGTTTGTGCCATAAAAAGGGAGGAAGAGTAGACAACACAGGGACGAAAACGAAATACTTTTCTGTCAAAAGCGAACCAGCTCGTGATTGGCCGATTTGAAGTGCGTAATTGCCGGCGCCGGGGGTGTAGTGGTAAGCGTGACTGCATAAAAATCTCTGGTCAGTAAAGCCGTTGGTCCCGGCCCATGTGTGTTGCGAATGGGTGCGATATCCTACACTGAAAATGTATTTTCGTTATTTCTCTGAAAACCGTTTCGTTAAAATGAATATCGTACATACAACACATCTTTCATAAATCGTACGAAACATTCGTTTTTCCAGTCATTTGGCGCAATGTCAATATTACGCCTTATATGTATAATATACAAATTCAGCTTCGTACAATCAACTGCGCTTATTGTCTCCTAAAGTATTGATTGTGTGCTCGAGATGGTATACTTTTTTTAAATATTGTCGGTTTGACCAATACATGCAAGCTACCACAATAAATCAAATTAATGGTCGCGGTGGTCTTATGTCAGAGAAAAAAATACATGCAAGCAGCAGAAAAAGCAAACGAAATCGAATTACCGTTTCATGAGTGCTTCTTATTTGCCTTTAGCTTTAGAATTTCTTGTAGCACAGATAGAGCGGTGGATAAAGCACAGATCTAATGATCGCAAGGTTCATGATTCGAGTCCGGTCTGAAGCCCATTTGTAGTTTTTGTCATGTTTATTCCTTCCAATGATGAAGTTATTTTTACCCATCCTCACTAACACACACCACATTTTTCGGTTTCCACAACCAGTATTGTGGCCCGCTGGTTCGGTGTAGCGATAGCGAGTGTGACAGTTCTAACGAAACTAGTTTTATACAATGTACAAATCACTAATATGGACCAACAGGTCTGTGCCATAAAAAAGGGAGAATATACAAATCCATTTCGTTGCAGAAAACAACGAACAAATTCGTAGAACAAACGAGCGATTTCGTTGTATGAACGAAATTTTATTTTCAGTGTACGCAGATGTGGAAGCTGCCTTCCTGCACATTCGGTTGCCATCAATGGATGGCAATTGATGTCCGTCGGTGATTGGCACTAGATTGCGGAACAGAGACCGACGTTAAATAAAGGAACAGAAGAAGAAGAAGAAGAAGAAGTGCGTAAAATATAGATAGAGATAGGTATAGATAGAGATAGAAATAAAAGAGTAAGATGCCAGTTGTCTCCTCTTCCTCTTAGATCTGAACACTTTTGAACCCTTTATCTAGGGGAATTTTCGTATTCTCATCAATCTAAGCAGCGTCAGCGTTTCTATTTGCATTTTCTCAACGTCACACACACACACGCATATGACGTGTTTGTTTGTTTACATGTATCTGCTGATTGCATCACTACCCATTTAAATCGACAGAATTGTTCAAAACTGTTTGAAAACGTTTTTATAACGCTCCAAACTTCTCAGGTGAGTGTGACTATTGTTGGCAACCTTTTTTTTTACTTCGGAAACTTTTGCATTTGAACTGCGTGTTAACCAGCTCTTCAATTATAGGCAACTCGAAATCAGCCGCATTTTGTAGTTCATATATTTTATTTAAAGCAAAACCTGGCTTAACAGGATTGCTCAGTCGTAATAATGTAGTCATATTGAAGCTGAAAGACTAAGGAATCGGTAGAATACATTCAGTGAAGTGTTTTGAAGAAAAAATACAATGATGCATAAATGGGTGCCGATGCCGGCATTTACCCTAGTTGAATTTTCAGTTAACCCATCGTAAAATAGTTAGTTTAATGCTAATAATTTTCCTATCAAAATGCAAAATTTCCGCATCGTACTAGTGTGACTCTGCGTTGCGGAAATTAAGAATTTTGTTAGAGAGATTAATAGCACTAAACTATCTATTTTAAGATGGGATAACTGAAAATTCAATTGGATTTATCGTAAGTATTCTATCATAAAAAGTAATGAAACAGTCCCAGAAGAGCGATCCATCCCTGCCCACCAATATTTTGGGCTGTCCTCCAACCAATCCAGCTGATTTTTCTGTAGGTGACATAAGTTCAAGTTCTAACCTTCTCTTCAATAGACAATGTAAAAGGATTCATCTTACACTCATTTTTGCAAAGTAATATAAAACGAGGCCCGGGTAACCAACAAGCCCCTTAATTGACCGTTTGGCAATGTAAGACTGATATGCTGCTTATACACTGAAACCACCGTTTACGAAGTCTTGTTTTAAGCAGTATTCAGTTTACGTGCCTTTTTTACGAACTAAATAACGAGGTTTTTATATGAAGCAAATTCAAAATAACGATACTTTTTAACGACTTCTGGGAAACTGGGAAATTCTGAAATATACCCTATGTCTGACGATTCTAAAAATACCTAGTAGTTGAACAGTATTTCCCTTTTATCCTGTAACCGGAATCCGCCATCTTGGATTTCAAAATGGTGTCAAAAAACTTTTTTTTACGGAGTGAAATAACCAGATATAGGCATGAGCGAAAAATCTGAGGGATTATTTTCAGCGCAGGTGTATTTAATGCAAAATGCGGAATATTGAATACCTCGTATAAGATTGTTAACATGTATCTGCAAGCTGGGGGCTCGACTAGCTTGGGGGGGGGGGCTGGCTTTAGCCCACGTATGCCATACCGTAAATACGGCCTTATCACCTTAATTATTGACAAACTACAGGGTGATACGGAGTAACTGTCACTTTAAAAAATAGTCATAACGATTGAACGCTTACATGATTTTTTGATATCAGTATATTTCAGATATACTACATAGGGGAAATGGATGTAATGTCGGCCTAAATGCCCCTAATTTAGGCCCATACATAAATTTAGCAATCGACTAAATTTTCAATAGCGACCAAAAACATCCATTAGTACCGTCTCAAATGACGAGTTCATCTAGCTAAAATTGATAAATAGCAGATTTTTAGC